ATATATTTGTTTAAAGTCTTCCAGGGAGGTAGAGAACAACTGCATCTTGCAGTATCAGACCCCTGAAGACAGTCTCAGCTTGATTTCTACTAACACTGCCCAAATAAAATTATATTTAAAAAATATTTCTAGCCTTTTTCTCACATGGATCATTCAAAATTCACAGCATATCTTACTCATGGGAAAGAGAGGTAAGAAATAAGGCTCCTATTCATTTTTTCTTCAGCACCAACGGGCATTTTTCTGAGCTTGCATTAGTACAGGGAAAGAGAGGTTATTAAGTAGTGAGATGAATCCCTCTCCACCACTATTTTCCTCCTAACAACACTGCACTTTCAGCTGAAAACTTGAAAAATGGAGTGCCAAAACATGTTCTGAATAGTTTATTCACTTTTCCCATTATTGTTGTTTATAACATTTTACACATTTCAAATGGCTTTCATTAAATAGCCATTATTGCAGAATTATTTTTATATCATCTTGATCAGTACTCCTGTCCTTCCTTTGTGCTCAACTGCTAAAATTTACTTTGCTGCCAAAAATGTCAGTAAGCATTAATTACATTACAATTATACCTCAGAGTTTTATTTACTTCTATCCATCTGATTTTCAGTTCTTCCATATTTGTAGAGGAAGGAGAGAATAATAAAATGTGAGACTCAGGAAGGAAACCCAATTATAGTGTAGATGCTTTGCAAGTTGCCACAAGCCTTAAGGCACTGCAACACACAACTCTTCTAATCCGAGCATCTCATGAATGCATCAAAACATTTTTCTGATCATACAGGAAACTGCTCATTTAAATGACACTCACAAATGGACTTAAAAGCAATGGCCTGTGGATACTTTCTGAATACTTTTGTTCTTCATCAGAAACAGTTTTGCAAGGAAACTTCATAATAAGCTTACATGCCATGTTCCCCTAAAAGAAAAAATTAGGCTATTTTGGGGATGTTTTGATTTTAAGGAGTTCACTTTTTTTCCCCCAGAGACCTCTAATCTTCAAGATTATATTGCAGAAATTGTAAGAAAATGATTCTCAACTGAAGATGACCTATAAAAGTACAAGCTTTATGAAAATGCTGCTTTTTCTACATCCACTCATTATCTAAATCAAAACCTGGACCCACCTGACAGATAAAAAAACCTGGATGAAATAACATCTGCATTTATAGCCCTCTGTAAATTGTTTTGTTATTGTAAGTCACCATTTCAAAGCCAATGTAAAGACTTCAGGTATCCACACGCATTCAGCTTGAAGGAACTTTATGACTACATACACATAACCACATATCAGACTGCTACATTTGATTTATACAGAATGAAAATGCATTTGTCTCTAGTGGTCTGCTAATCTTAATAACTATAATAGATTTAGCATGTTTCAAAAATTTATTTAAAGGGAAAAAAAAACAAAAATTACTGCCACACACACTACACCAGGTATCAGCTGCATTAGGGAAGAAAAGGAATTAAGAGGAGGAAATATGAATCAAGATACATTTGAAACTTGATGTAAATGAAGGAACAGAAGAAAGTTCAGTTGATGAAAATGTTAAGCAAAGATGAAAAATGAAGCAAAAGCAGAAAGGAAAGATTCAGCCACTGCTTGTTCAAAAAGACAATTGTAGAATTCAGCAGCCAAGGCAGAAAACCAAAAACAGAGAGTTGTCACATCTAATATTGGAACATGACAAATGGACAAAGATCTTCAGCAGTCTGCTTAAAGAAAGGAAACTTAAATAAAGACGGGAATTAAATAATTAGCATTACTGCAGAAAGGACAGGTCAGATAACAAGAGTTCATATTACAACATGATGTATTTTGGCCCACAGTGTAGCACAGAGGATTTAAAAAGAAGCAATGACAGTCACAAGTGATGGATTTAAGACTTTGTATAAAGGGTTCTGCTGAATGCCAGCAAAGGGATATATAAGATGGGATTAAAGTATGTGACTTTGAAAAGCTCCTCTTTCAATGACACAAGAAAGGGCACTAAGACATCCACACTTACACAAAATCCAAAGTAATGAAAATAAAGTCTCTTAGTGTTTTTACTACTCTCATATCCTTTACTGGTAACACACTTGAGTATTCATCTTTTAGGTTACACCCTCTCCCTCCAAATGAGGGTAAGAAATAACTTAAACCACTTGCCTGTCAGACTTACCTAAACAACCAAACTTTTAATAGCAAATTCAGACAATCATCAGGCACCTGATCAGGCTTCTGCAGCATAGTCATGATGCAGACTTGCATAGTTCTCCTTTCCTGTCACTGAGATGTGAGCCAAAGATTCAAACTCAGCTAGTATCTGCTGCTGAGCGATTATCTTTTGGGAAGGGAAACCTCATGAGGTGGGAGAATTTTTAAATACCATTAGGAAGTCACTAAGAAAATAGCCATGTAACTCACTTTTACTGTGAGACAGTTCAAATTTTCCTCTGTCATTCTTTTGTTAATGAAGGACAGATGACTTGTCCCATCAACAACACAATAAATCCCAAAAACGTTAGTGAAAAAACAATGGTTGAAATGGCTAAAATAATGTTTATCTATGACACTTATCTGTGATTTCTGAATTATGCCATAGAACTTCCCCTACAGTGTGAATTTTAAAGTTTACATTTTCTGGTAATGAAAAAATTGAGTAGCATCTCCTCCACCTAGTAACTATGTCGCTTCTTCATAGATCACTGGAAGAAGGCATCTTCTGATCGCTGGACCAAGCTTAAGATGACCCAAGAGAAAAGAGGCATGCCTGCCTCTCCTTGGATGAAACAAAAGAGCAGGCCTTAGCATATTTTCCCTGTAATTACCACTACAGCTGTTTCCTAAGCAGCAACAGTTCACTGTCAAGAATCCCAAACATAAATGGTTGACTTAGTAATAAGGAAGAGCAAGAGAATCAATCTATATGTCAGCCTTACCTTACATAGCCTGTATTAATTAACACATGAAATGAATTGGTATCCTGAATGCCTTCTGGACTCTGGAGAGGGGTTCATCTTTAACCACAAGGTTAGTGAGACAGTGGGAAGGCAAATGAAGTTCTGCCAGAGTAAAAGCTATCGTCTTCCTGCCCCCTCCTTTCTTTGCAAGTTTCATCTCATTTAAATTTGGATGTTAGGATTCTAAACTGTTATAAGACTATTTCAAAAATTAAATAACAATCAGGTACCTGAATACTTCATTATATACAGAAAATTTACTTATGAAGTATTTTTCACCTCAAATTGTGAAGTTTCAAATAAAAAATCTGAACAATGTCAGATGTGTGTCAGTCATACAATGACTGAATGACAGCCCTTAATACTAGACAGTCATTTCACAGGATGTCAAACAGAGGTATTTTTTATTTTTTCATTAATACATTTCCTTTTTTATGTACTATAATTTATTTATTTCATTTCACAAAGGATAATTGGTGGAGTGTGAAAAACACTCATGCACTAATCTCCAAGAAGCTTCACATATGGCATTTTCCATAATTACAAAAAATATCCATGGCATTGATATTGCCAGTCTGTTAACTTTGACTCAGTTTTGAAAAGAGGCATTCTCTTTTCACAGTATCTCCACAGTTGAAATATTTTTCTTCAGTGCAGGTAAATATCTGGTCAACATCATTTGTTCTCCTCAGCACTATAAAGCTATCTTAACAGACCAAGAGATTAATTATTTTATCATTGAAGTCTGATATCGAACCTACAACAGTGTTATTCAAAGTATATGAATCTGCTAGCAAACAGATTGATTGCAAAGTCATAGAATCAGTCTCTCCTTCCTTGTTCATTAAGTGCATCCTTGAAATCTGATGGCATTGTTTTCTGTAAACTTGACTATTATTTCACTTAGAGCACATCAAACATGATTTCTTTTCACTTCCTATCAATTGCAGCCCTCTGCTAAAGATGAGATGAGATTTTTTTATATTTGTCAAATGACTGCAACAGGACTAGAGGAGTAGACTTTCAAATTAAATGTGTAAAGTATGCTTTGGTATTAGCTAGGACACTTCACGGCTAAAACATAACTTGAAGCTTTTTTCAAGATTCATTCCAAACGATTTTGTTCAAATTCAAGCCCTCACAAACACTGAAAGATTTTGTACTAACAGTAGTAATCAGTGGAAAGTCAAACTGAATTAAGTCAACATTAACAGAGCAGGACAATAAAACAATGCTTTCTAACACTTTGGAAATTTGAAGCTTTGAGTATAAATCAGGCCTTTAACAGCATATAGTCCTGGGATCTTACATGGATCTGTTATCTGGAGAATGGCATACCCATCTTACAATCACTAACAGAATGACCCTTGAGCTCAAAGACATAGAGCTGTGACATGGTATGACAGAGCTATGACAGGTACACAGCAAGATCAGAAACCCCTGCTTTGGTTCATAACAGCAGAGAAGCAGCTGGAAAACTCGTAGTCTGCAACTTAAAGGTTTTTAAATACCAGAGAGAAGCCAGACTGTAGACACTGATCTTCTCAAGTCACAAGTTACATGATAAAATCATTATCATGTAGTTTGAGTAATTCATTAAGCAAATTCTGATAGCCCCAACAACACTGACACAAAAAGTTAACACTTTGGCCTAGCTGAAATGTAATAATGACTGTTGAACAAATGGTAGTCTGAAGACATTTCAGAGATACTCTTTCAGTGACAGCAGGTTTTAGAGCACATAGGCCTAGTAATATTTTCTTTTGGTGAAACAAATTCTTCCACTGAACACTGCTTAAAAAAAAAATACTACTAAATTCACCAGATTTTAAAGTTGCAAATAAAACTCCAACACTTAATGGTGAATAAGGCTTTGTGCTATCCAGCTACTTACATTAAAATAGTTTCCTGTGAGTAGCATAGTCCTGAAGAAAACTGAAAAATTTAAATGAACTTGTTCTACACTTATTTCACAATGTATTTAAGTGTTTTTCCTCACTCAGCACAGTATTTCTGTACTTCAGTAACTGAGCTAGAAATCAACTTACCCTATGTTTTTCCTTTACTTTCTTCCTGTATTCTTCTTTGTCAAATTTGTCTTCTTCACGCAGTATTTCTTTCGCTTTATCTAGGTTGATACCACTGGCATCCTCTTCCTCATCTCCTTGCGCCAAATTGGATTTCTGCACAGGTGGCCACTGCTGCACTAACTGAATTAGAGATGACAGCAAGAAAAATAATGGTTAGAATGATTTTTTCCACATCACACTTTTTGTGGCCTAAATATTCCAATACATTATTTGTCCAGACTAAATAAAAAGATCATCTGCAAAGGAAACAAATTAACAAACCTTAATTTACATCACAATCAGTTTAAAATTACTATTTTAAAGTAGTGTCTCTATTATATCACATTACTTTTTAATGACTTCACTTGAATCTCTTCTCATATTTTGTCCTCTTTCCTGATTAGAACAAGTAATTTCTAATCCTGCTAGTCATTTGGGGAAAAAAAACAAACTACTTGTTCTCAAGAAATTACTCTCAGAAAAAAAAAATGTGAGTAAATCTAAACAGTTCCTTTAATGTAAACAATAAGCATTCTGACATATTAACCAAGACAAAAATTAGACAACCTTTATTCAAGAGTACACAACAAAAGCATGACTGCAGGTTCATGTTTTGAGGGAAGCAAGGGGAACAGACATGGAAGGGTTTTTTTGATTATTGTACTAGGACAGTATTGGAAATACAGTATTGTTTGATGATTCATGCTGATGAAATGTTTGATGGACGACACACTGAACACATTCAACTTCCCTTAAATATTTGAAACTCTAAATTCAAGACTACACATTCACCAAAAATCATCCACATCTGTCTTATGACCTAGTAGCTTATACCGTGTGGTATGAGCACACACTTTAAAAGGAAAGCCTTTGCAAAATCATTCTTGCTCATGGATTGGTAGAGTACTAAATCTTGACATGCAAGTACATGGCAGACAATACAGAATGCCTTTCAGTACAAATGCAAAACCAAACACATTTAGGACTCCCTAATGCACACAGGTTGTTTATTTAACAGGTCAGATAAATCCAACCCATTGTTACAACATCCTTTTGTAAAACTGAGTTTGTGTAGGTGTATTTTCCAGAAAGATACATTTTTAGAGGACTTTATCAAAGAGTAGGAAGTGGAATAGAATAGTAAAATTTTAAAGTACAATTTTACACAGCTTGGATAGAAAAAAACCAAGAACAACATCCATAGATGCAAATTCTGACTTTCCTTAAATGTTACCCCTTTTCTACAGTAGTGCTTTTCAAACTAGAATCTTTGTGATTATTTTTCTCTCCATCCTTGCTCCATTGCATAAATACCTAAAACATTTGCATACGAATTTTAAGTTGAGACAACAGCTTCTGTATATCTAAAAATATCTGACATTGTAGTTTTCGGTCAATGGGGCAACCTCTACAACCTTTTACATTCTCTCTAATGTTAGTAATTATGCATATGGCTACACTCCCTTCACCTGCAATATAAAATGCTTTATTTTGTCAGAAAAAAAGAAAATTATATACTTGTAAAGGTGACCTCTCAGTTTATGCCTTACTGAAATTGTTATAAAGAGGAGGAAAAAAAAAACCAAACACATCCTACTTTTTATCTTATCTGCTGGAAACAGGAAAACAACATACACAGCATCCGAAGCTGTGAAATCAAATGATAGAAAAGTTCATGGAATATGGATACTTGCTAGTGAGGTTATTTCCACAGGGAAAACCTAGACTAGCATCCACAATAGTTCCTTTCAGTATAAAGTCAATATTTTTTTCCACTGTTCTATTAAAAGAACAAATCAAATAACTGGCAAATTTCCAAGCACTACTACGTCAGTACCAGTAGGCCAAAATTTGCTATTTCTTGAGCTTTTCTAACAAAACTTTTAATCTAGAAATGGTGAATGCTGGGAAGAAAACCAGGGTCTTCTTTTAATTCCAGTACATTAACTCAAGACTTTGGAGAGCTTTGGCAAACAGCTACAGGAAAATTGTTTTACATTTCTGTAAGAAAAAAACAAACGTGCTCTTGATTCCACCTGAAATTGAAGATAATAGGCAGAGAAAAGATACAGTTCTGTACATCCACTTTCAGCTCTCATACAAGTATCTTACACATACAAAGATGAAAAGAGGTCAGTGCTCAACATTCCTCTTTTTCCCAATGGAACTGAATTCTAAATGGAAGCTGAACACTTTTGCAAAATGTAAGCCAATTACAAATACCACACATTTTTCACAAGTGTCTTTTTATACAGGTATAAAATACATCTATGACTTTACAGAAACTACAACTTCAATTCCCACCAAAATGCAATTACTTTTAAGTGATCTTACCTCTCCTTCTTCGGTAAAAACTATTTTTGTGTTAACTTTAAATTTCTTCTTCAATATTTTTTTGGCTTCTTGGGTCTTAGTTGTTTTTTTCTTCATCTTTGATTTCGACGTGGTCTGCATAAAAGAAAGTAAGTTTTCTTATGTTTTTTACTAGTCATAGAGTATATATTTCAAACTTTCCTGAAAGTAATTAGATGTATTAAAATTTAATTCCTAAAACATGTGTAAGACTAATTTCCAGTAAAAATCAGCCAGCAAACCTTGTCATGAAAGCATTTGAAGCAGGCCATATAATCAGAAATTCATTTACTCGGATAAAAAATTTAGTATAATTTAAATCCTGTCAGGACACCTGGCCCATTCAGATCTCACTAAACTTTAAGGGACAAGGACACTAGATTCATCAGCTTATGCTTCTAGAAAGCCTCATCAGACAAGAAATACAGTATAAATTACTTGAAGCCATTAACTACAACTGATCAGATACTAATTTCATCTCACTTGTCATCACACTGCCCCTAGGCACTGCAATAAACCAGTCTGAGCTATCTCTGTATCAATAATGCCACATGTGGCCATGCAAGAATATTCCTACTTCATGACTTTTGTCTCTTGCAGAACTTCCAGTAGGTGATTACCAAACTTAGGGAAGTACCATTTAAATATCGCAAAAGTTACTAGCATCATAAAAGAAAGTAGGGAAAAGAAAGGGAGAAGAGACAGCAGAGCAACCAATGAATGAATCCACAGAAATCCACAGGAATTGTGAAATCCACAGATGGCCTATATAAGTTTCCCCAAGGCACACATATGGTGGCAACATCACGGAACTAAAGAATGTGGAGATCTACCACCCCCAACTCCTCTTCCGAGAACTCTCCTTTCAAAAACAAAGATGTGTTCCAACATCTACCAGGGCACAATACAAAGAGGACATTTTAAGCAGTAACTGACATTGTAAAATCTATTTTATAGGAAAAAATGTTCTGAAGGAATATGTTGAGACTCCATAGGAGAAGGCCCACAACTCATTCATCATCCCTTAAAGACTGCAATCTCTCCACTACTCAGGAAAAAGTGCCTGAAAAACAGTCACTAAACTGTCTAAACTTCTAATAAATAACAGAAAGCAGTCAAAGCATCCAGAAAGAAAAAGGAAAAACTGAACTTTTTCTCACTTTCATTTTTTATTTTGGTCATTTTAATCAGTTTTCATGTTCTATACAAAACCCACTATAAAAGGAAGCAAAAAAACATTAACTCAGAAAGTCACTGTCACTATGGTCAGCACACTAATGCACTGAAATATGAACTATAAAAGAGAAAAATTACAGCCCTTCTAACAGGAAAAATGGCTTGTGACAGCTACTGCGCTGTGATATCAAGTAATGACCATATCTATTATAGAAAATAGTAACTGTAGCAGCACTTTTGTCCTCCGTATTGTCAAACAATTTTTGCTGCACTTTGCAGCTAGCACTGGTTAGGTACATCTGTAACAGCCCAGAAAGCTATGCTACTCCCTCATTACTGCTGCTTATCCTACAAACAGAAATTGTTTCAGAATCTGCATTAGCATAAAACCCTTACCTCAAAATACAGACTACTTAGCAGAACAACAGTAGCTGTCCACAAGAAGAATTTAAAGGGAGATGTATTTCAAGGTGGTGGGACAATACTATTCACTACCACGGCATTTTCTTTCAGCAGCTGCTTTTGGTTTTCTTTTTTTATTAAACAGTCCTTTATTTCTGGACTGCCAATATTATTGGTATCAGCATAACATGCTACTATAAAAGAAAAAATACTGCAAGATTAAAATTGGTAGAACAGTATTTTGCAAAATTATATTTAACTGTGAATTTCAGCTGTTTACATTTCTTGGTTTAAAAGGTTTTTCCAGCTAAAAACCACAAATATCCAATGAGCTGTCTTTACATGCACACATAGGCAACATTTCCAGTTGTACCTTGTTCCCCCTCCTTCCTCTGAGTTTGATACTGCCAAGTTGTGTGGGAGAAAATGGAACAGTGCAAATTTCTAAACAAATAGAAGGAACAAGAGGAGGAGAAGAAAAAAATGGGAAGCTAAATTCCCTCACTATAGATTCAAAAAGCATAGTGTAAGGTCAGTGGGTGAATTTGGCAGATTTATAATATTGCTTGTGTAGCATTACACAAAGGGATTAAAATTTTAAAAAAAACCTGTAGAAAAAAGCATGAATATAAAACACTACACACTCTCTAGATAATTGAACTGTGGGTTTTACTAGGATGCTGCATTGGGTTTTCATGGCCAGCTTTTGGTACAGGGGGGACTACAAGGGTGGCTTCTGTGAGAAGCTGCCAGAAGCTTTCCTCATGTCCAGCAGGGTCAATGCCAGCTGGCTCCAAGATGAATGTGTTGCTGGCCAAGGCTGGGCCCATCAGAAGTGATGGTAAAGCCTCTGTGATAACATATTTATGAAGAAGAGAAAAAAAAAATTATGGCACAGATGTAAGTGTAGCCAGAGAAGAGCAGCGAGAACATGTGGGAGGAACAGCCCTGCAGACACCAAGGTCAGAGCTGAAGGAGGGGCAGGAGGTGCTCCAGGCACCAGAGCAGAGGTTCCCCTGCAGCCCCTGGCACAGCCCCTGGTGAGGCAGTCGTGCCCCTGCAGCCCCTGGAGGACCATGGAGATGCAGTAATCCCCCTGGAGCTCATGGAGGAGATCCACACCAGAGCAGGGGGATGCCTGACAGAGGGCTGGGAACCCATGGGAGGCCAGGAACAGGCTCCTGGCAGGGAGCTGCAGACCCATGGAGAGAGGAGCCCATGCTGGAGCAGGTTTGCTGGTAGGACTTGTGACCCACGCTGGAGCAGCCTGTCCTTGAAGGCCTGACCCACACTGCAGCAGTTCATAGACAACTGTTGCCCATGGGATGGATTCATGTTAGACAAATTCACGGAGAACTGTCTCCCATGGGAGGGACCCCACAGTGGAGCAAGGGAAGGACTCCCTTCCCTAAGCAGTAGCAGGATGGATGAACTGACCACAGTCCCCACTCCCTGTCTCCCTGTGCCACTGGGAAGGAAGAGGTAGAACTGAGAAGGAAAGGTGAACAGAAGGTGTTTTAAAGGGCTGGTTTTACTACACATTATCCTGCTCTGATTTTGTTAACAATAGCTTCAATTAATATCTCTAATTTAGGTCTGTTTTGCCTGTGATGGTATTTGGTGAATGATCTCTCCTGGTCCTTAGCTCAACCCATGAACCAACCCCTCGTTATGTTGTCTCTCCTCTGCCCAGCTGTAGAAGGGTGTGATAGAGAGGCTTTGGTGGGTGCCAGGCATCCAGTCAGGGTCAACCCACTACCATGGTAATTTAGCTTTCTGAGCACACTTCAAAGTTGATGGCTATCAAGGCTCCTTCAGCTTCAGAGACAGTCCCCTGACTGACTCATAGTTTAAGACCAGATGGGCTCAGCTATCAAAACATTTTCATCACAGATGTAGGCAGAATTTTCCAAACTACAGGACTTCAGTATTCAGCAGTAGAAGAAGGGACCTTTGGTGTGTTAGGGCACTGGTTTCTGACATACCTTCCCTGTTCCAAGGGGGAGTCCAGGATCAGCCATGGAGTGTATAGTCCTGGGGCCACCATGGGTGCAGCATACATGCTGCTTTGGTTCCCTTCTGAGGATCTCTCACATTTTTCTGGAGTCCCTACATAATCCTAAAGTGTCTCTCTTCTACCACTTAACCCTCTCCCTCCATGTGTCTCCAGTAGCATCTTCCAGGGGATCCATTCCCCACATTCCAAGAACCTCTTGCCCTATACTTCCTGCCTTGGTGGTTGCTGCTTAATATTGAACATAGCTGTGCCAGATGTTTCTCCAAGTAGCTTAAGTCTTGATGCAGGATGGGTTGTTTAAATCCATCTCAGTTCATGGTCTCCTCCACCATGATACGCTGTGACCCCCTCACCAAATTTCTTCTGCCACTGCCTGTCTTTGCTTTGACCTCACATTTGAACAGCTACATTGAAACATCAGTGTCCTATCTAGCAGGACCCTGATTCATTCATTTTAAAAGTGAAACACCACTGGATATGAGACCTCAGGCTTCCCTAATTTAAGTGCTAATCCTTGGTTCTGTGTTTTCAAGCCATTCTGCTTACTCATTTCCCATTTTCATCTTTTCTACTAGGAGATACCTGAGCACAGATAAGTGGCAGGCTGACATTCTCTACTGCTTCATCTCTTCTTCACAAGGAGTTCACCATAGTAGCAGGCACCACCAGCTGCTGGAGGTTGCCAGAAGATCCTCATACCATCTGATAACCTTAAATTCTGTAGAGAATACAAAGGTAGCAGAAGTCATCTCTGCCCAGTAAACAGCTGGAATCTGGGGTCATGGACTTTGCAGGTAGAAGTATCACCCCATCAGCAGATATAAGTGAATGGGGGGTTTCTGCTGACAAGACCCTGTTCCTAGTGCCACAGCAAGCCACAGGCCCAGGCATTTTAAAGTGAGCTGAGAGGGAACAGCTGCTGTCTTCGCAGATGGGTTCATTGCAGGTCCTGCTCAACTACTATTTACCTCAGTAAATCCCTTCCCAAAGCTGAATTATTCCATCAGATAATGCACTGATCCAAACAAAACAGCATGAGTGATCTGGGCACAGGTTTTCACACTGACGTTAAGATACCAAAGGAATTCTGCATTTGAACTCAAGTTGCTAACAGTAGTTTAAGCACCAGCTGCTGCACACACCTCTCTCTGTCAATGAGAAGAGGTTACCTGCTGCTCATCAGCAGGTACATTTTGCCCTATGCTCAACACAACAGGCCTCCAAATATCTTCTTTTCTTCAATAAAGATGTGGCAATTAAAGTGATTAAACAAGACCAGAACAATAATTAGCCTCTTTTAAATGATATATAACACTTAAACATTATAAGTTAAGAGTCACTCAAGTTCATAAAAAAATCTGTAAAATGCAGGATCAGCTGCAGGCTTGGGGGATTTTCTACTGTTACTAATCTAGAGCCAAAATTCCTTTTTCCTTTTGTAGATGCCAGATGTCTTGCTGGATTATTTCATGAGTAACAATAAAAAATAGCTCTTAGA